CACAGAGATTCTCCTTGAGGAAACACAGAGATTCTCCGTGAGGAAACAGAGATTCTCCATGAGGAAACAGAGATTCTCCATGAGGAAACACAGAGATTACCCATGAGGAAACAGAGAGATTCTCCATGAGGAAACACAGAGATTCTCCGTGAGGAAACAGAGATTCTCCATGAGGAAACACAGAGATTCTCCATGAGGAAACAGAGATTCTCCATGAGGAAACACAGAGATTACCCATGAGGAAACAGAGAGATTCTCCATGAGGAAACAGAGATTCTCCATGAGGAAACACAGAGATTCTCCGTGAGGAAACAGAGATTCTCCATGAGGAAACACAGAGATTCTCCATGAGGAAACACAGAGATTCTCCGTAAGGAAGCACAGAGATTCTCCATGAGGAAACACAGAGATTCTCCGTGAGGAAACACAGAGATTCTCCATGAGGAAACAGAGATTCTCCATGAGGAAACACAGAGATTCTCCTTGAGGAAACACAGAGATTCTCCGTGAGGAAACAGAGATTCTCCATGAGGAAACAGAGATTCTCCATGAGGAAACACAGAGATTACCCATGAGGAAACAGAGAGATTCTCCATGAGGAAACAGAGATTCTCCATGAGGAAACACAGAGATTCTCCGTGAGGAAACAGAGATTCTCCATGAGGAAACACAGAGATTCTCCATGAGGAAACAGAGATTCTCCATGAGGAAACACAGAGATTCTCCATGAGGAAACACAGAGATTCTCTGTGAGGAAACACAGAGATTCTCCATGAGGAAACACAGAGATTCTCCATGAGGAAACACATAGATTCTCCATGAGGAAACAGAGATTCTCCATGAGGAAACACAGAGATTCTCAGTGAGGAAACAGATATTCTCCATGAGGAAACACAGAGATTCTCCGTGAGGAAACAGAGATTCTCCATGAGGAAACAGATATTCTCTGTGAGGAAACACAGAGATTCTCCATGAGGAAACACAGAGATTCTCCGTGAGGAAACAGAGATTCTCCATGAGGAAACAGAGATTCTCCATGAGGAAACACAGAGATTCTCCATGAGGAAACAGATATTCTCCATGAGGAAACACAGAGATTCTCCATGAGGAAACACGGAGATTCTCCATGAGGAAACAGAGATTCTCCATGAGGAAACACAGAGATTCTCCATGAGGAAACAGAGATTCTCCATGAGGAAACACAGAGATTCTCTGTGAGGAAACAGAGATTCTCCATGAGTAAACACAGAGATTCTCCGTGAGGAAACACAGAGATTCTCCGTGAGGAAACACAGAGATTCTCCATGAGGAAACACAGAGATTCTCCATGAGGAAACACAGAGATTCTCCATGAGGAAACACAGAGATTCTCCATGAGGAAACACAGAGATTCTCCGTGAGGAAACAGAGATTCTCCATGAGGAAACAGAGATTCTCCATGAGGAAACACAGAGATTCTCCATGAGGAAACAGAGATTGTCCATGAGGAAACACAGAGATTCTCCGTGAGGAAACACAGAGATTCTCCATGAGGAAACAGAGATTGTCCATGAGGAAACACAGAGATTCTCCATGAGGAAACACAGAGATTGTCCATGAGGAAACAGAGATTCTCCATGAGGAAACACAGAGATTCTCCATGAGGAAACAGAGATTCTCCGTGAGGAAACACAGAGATTGTCCATGAGGAAACACAGAGATTCTCCATGAGGAAACACAGAGATTCTCCATGAGGAAACACAGAGATTCTCCATGAGGAAACAGAGATTCTCCATGAGGAAACACAGAGATTCTCCATGAGGAAACAGAGATTCTCCATGAGGAAACACAGAGATTCTCCATGAGGAAACACAGAGATTCTCCATGAGGAAACACAGAGATTCTCCATGAGGAAACACAGAGATTCTCCATGAGGAAACACAGAGATTCTCCGTGAGGAAACAGAGATTCTCCATGAGGAAACAGAGATTCTCCATGAGGAAACACAGAGATTCTCCATGAGGAAACAGAGATTGTCCATGAGGAAACACAGAGATTCTCCGTGAGGAAACACAGAGATTCTCCATGAGGAAACAGAGATTGTCCATGAGGAAACACAGAGATTCTCCATGAGGAAACACAGAGATTGTCCATGAGGAAACAGAGATTCTCCATGAGGAAACACAGAGATTCTCCATGAGGAAACAGAGATTCTCCGTGAGGAAACACAGAGATTCTCCATGAGGAAACACAGAGATTCTCCATGAGGAAACACAGAGATTCTCCATGAGGAAACACAGAGATTCTCCATGAGGAAACAGAGATTCTCCATGAGGAAACACAGAGATTCTCCATGAGGAAACAGAGATTCTCCATGAGGAAACACAGAGATTCTCCATGAGGAAACACAGAGATTCTCCATGAGGAAACACAGAGATTCTCCATGAAGAAACACAGAGATTCTCTGTGAGGATCTCTTCCAGAGTTATGAAAACATGACATGAAAACATCCATGTTAAAAATGTTTATGTGAAGATTCTAACGTTAGGGGAAGACTATTTGTTTGTTAGTTTGAGAGAACGTTCCCTGCTCCCGAACTACAGGCCGACCTCAGTGTCACGGCAGAGAGCGGGCCAAACCAAGAACGAGAGCATCCGCGACTCCCTCCCGCTCTCACACACACTCTTTCTACACTAGCACACGTGTGCTGTTATTGTCAAAGAAGTGATAATTGACTGGGAGGATTGCTTTCGCTGAAGAGGATGTTTTAATAAACCAACAATGACTGCTCTCATTCGGAGATGCACCCTGCAGCCAGATCCGCAGCCAGGAG